GGTGTAATCTTTAGGGTACCAGGTGATAGGCAATCTTCCTCCTGCAAGACAATTGTGTTACGTTAAATAAGGTTGTTCTTTCAGAATAACATTGAGAGTGAGTTTGAGGAATATAATTGTTGAGCATATAACCAGCAATCCAACTATCAGCTTAAGCTTTTAGTTGAGATGGAGCACATGCTTTTATAATAATGTTGGGTTCTTACCAGGATTGTAGTCACCAAATATCACTTGTGCAAGTGCTAGACCACCTGCTTCGCCTGGATAGCCAGCCCACAGGATGCTGCCTATTTTCGGGTTGAATTTCGCGAAGGAAACATCCACAGGACCTCCGCTCAGCAGGACCAATATGACAGGCTTCTTTGCAGCTTTAGCAACGCTAGTAATGAGGCTCTCTTGCTGCCCGGGGAGCAGCAAGTCCACGCGGTCTACGTCTTCCCGCTCTTGATTTTGGTCCAATCCCATGACAAGAACCACCTGATCCGCCTTCTTCGCCAGCTCCACAGCTTCGCCTATTGCAGCAGAAGTGCAGTTTACCGCATTGCAGCCCGGGTGAAACGAGGCATACTTGGCATAACTCTGCAAGGCTTTGAGTATTTCGACAGATTTGCAGGGAGGGCCATAGTAGTTTCCTTGGAGGACATTTGCAGTGTTGGCATTAGGCCCTATTACAGCAAGGGACACGGTTTTCGTCTTGGATAGAGGGAGGAGCTTGGCGGAGTTTTTGAGCAAGACAATGCCCTTTCTTGCTGCTTCTAAGGCTACATTCTGGTGGTCTTGGCTGCAGACTTGATCAGGACCAATGGCACCATAAGGCAGGTTTTTGGGGTCCCCTGAGAAGAGCCCCAATCTCATCCTAATGCTAAAAAGGTTGTGAAGAGCTCTGTCTATTTGATCTTCGGACACCCTTTTCTTCTCAACTGCTGATTTTGTGTACGTAGCCAAAAAGTGGCCACAGTTCACATCCATCCCTGTTTATATTTGTCACATAAACAATGCATTAGTTAACGTTAAATTAGCTCGGCTGGAAAGAGTCTGAATTGCTTAAACCTATCTGAATGGCCCATGACATGTGTATTTAGGTCTACTTAGATGCTGTTGCTGCTATCATTAATTCATTACTCTTTTTTTTTTTTTTAAAGTTGTTTACAAAACGGGAAATTCTCTCGTCCGAAATTCTTATCATGACATTGTTATAAATATCGCGCGGGTGCCGACCGGCCGCCTAGAATTTCACTGTAATTAGTGTTTTAGATGGCCGGCTGCAACGGACTAGACGGTCGATTAGTTATTGTTATGTGTTTTTTAATAGGTTATTTCGTTCAAAATGATGTCATTTTGAGCGAAATAACCATAAATAATTCAAATCGGTCACAAACCCAAAAAATGAAAAAAAAAATCAAAATTAGCTACTTTAATACTAATACTTTATGAGTTGTGACTTTGTGGAATTGCGTTTTTGATTCTTTAAATCTTTATACAATTTACAATTCTAGATGTTTTTAGGTTAACTTTTAATATTTAGTATTAACTATTAAAGTACTAAATAGTTTATAATTATCAAAAAATAAATAAAAAAATCGGGCACCCGAGGTACGCCTAGCGATTTTTGCAACCTTATATCATGGTAACTTAGCGGTCCATTAGGTAGAAGGACTAGTGACGGTGCCTGCCCTTAAGGAACCCATCAGATTTTGGGTGTAACTCCAACATTGCAGCTGACCCCCACACCCCGACCCAACAAGTGACAATCAGTATACCATGATCATGGTCTATCTTGTGAGGTGGGCCAATAACATATGGTTCACTTAATATACTGAAGGTTTATTTTTAATACATTGAATGTTTATTTTTTGTGTGTTGATTCAATACACAAAAAATAAATATTCAGTATATTAAAAATGAATATTTATCAATGTAGATCATGGTCCATAGAATAATTTGTCAATAGTGGTGTTCATAAGGTGGGAGACCAAGTCTGGTGCCCACCACAATAGATATAACTCTCACATTGCAATTGTCAGAACTCGATCTTGTATCTTTGCTTATAATTTATCACCCAAGAACAAACTAAACTGTCCGTGCTGGCTTCTTATTTTTTTCCTACGTTGATTTATAAGTGTGTCGGCATACTCTTTAATGTTTATACTGCTAATCTGGCAGATTAGGTATGGTGTCAACATACAATGGGATAAGATTGGAAATGGACCAAATGAGAGAAGACATCAAGCTTCATGATGAAGTGCATGTTTAATACTAGTCAATTATTGGCTGTCAGGTTGGACCAACTAACATTCACATGGGTTAAATCTAAATTCCCGGTATCATATTTAAGCAACTTAGAACGCTAGCTAGTGTAGTGTGGGGCGGGTGTACTTTATGTTTGATAAAATTATTAAATTTATAGTGAAATTAAGGAGTGTATTAATACCCGCGTTAAGTACAGCTGCGACGGTGTCTTCTGGAATTTTGGTATACTTATGGTCATTAAAAACATTTGAGACCGCGTCACAATCTGACGTGATGTACCTAAATATAACCAAAACATTGGGTTATAAAAACATCGTTAATAAAACAAAAGCAGAATGAGATTTCAAAGATAGACATGTATTATTATGTAGTACCCATGAAAACCCCATTGGCGACGAGCAACGTTGGTGAGAAGATTGTGATCAGCACAGCTTGGGATCCCATTCACACTGTTATAGGCGCACATGATTCCACTGGCTCGAGCTTTTTGTACACACTCTTGAAATGGTGGCTGAAATGTATCTGCCATGTCTTGTTCCGTCACCTATATATAAACATCTTAAATTATTTATAGTTTTTTTTTATTGGACCACCGGATATCTTAAGAGATATATTTAAGTCTGTACTATACTAGGCAAATGCTAACCATATTTAAGATCCACATAATGATAATAATTTATCAATATTCACTATATTATAGAGTAGAATTTGGGAGTATATTATGTATTTATGTAGTAGAACTCCGGCAAATAATGCCAGTCTATTTGGTCCCTCTGCTTAAATGGTCTTGATTTGTGGGACCTTCCTCCCATTTTAGAGGCACGCAACGTCCATTCTACTCCAAAGTATAAATTAGAATTCATTAAATTAAAATCTAGTCACGTTTATAAATTAGTAATAAACTCAATTTCATTAAATATCAATCTAAATGAAGGATGTGTTGCGCTCAACTAAAAATATAATCTGATAGTTAAACTGTACATTTATATTTTGATATTATATTATTATATGCTCAACAATCACAACTTACAAAAATTGTAGTTCGCTACTTAAAAGACTAAAGACTAAAGAGATGGCTTGGTAAACCAATCTAAGTTTTCAGCAATTTCTATAAAGAAACAAACTTAAAACCTTGTGCTTACAAATTCAACTATCCAACCATCTCTATTAAAGTTGTCCCAAATGACAATCTTATTATATTTATAAGCATAATACCCTTAAAAATTAAAAGGTATATATAGTCATAATTAGTAGCCAAAATTTATGGTTTAAACATGTATGTAAGATTGAGTGTAAAATTAGCATGAAAATGTTGGAATTTAGGTGAATTGGTTGGACCGTTCCTTTGGTAAACGAAAATGAAATAACTTATTCCTCCAGTCACGGAGTATGGTATGAAAAATCAAAAATGAAATAGAGTCTTTCATTTATGCCTTCAGTCAACCCCTAGATTTCGACACCCCATAAAGAAAAAGCGAAACACAACAAGGAAATCTGTCCAAGATTATCTATTTCAAACCTTGGCACTCACCCAAACCTAGAAACGAATCTTTCAATAAAATACTCTGAGAAAAAAGACCTATGTGATAGGTTTAATCCAGAGAATCTGAACTAAATATATTATATTTGGCTGCACGGGATGCCATAGATATTACTATATTAATGTATATAGGCAACATTAACAAAAAAAAATATGTAAAAATTTAACCAGTACACTCTCAAACAAGAAACTGTGTGGGATTTCTCATATTCTAAAAAATAAAATAAAAAAAAAACAAAAATCCAAAGAAGGATATATAGACACAAAAGTGAATTCATGGTCCCCCACCACTGAATTCAAAAATAAAAAACAAAATCAAAAACTGAGCACTACCCTAATAAAATTTGCTTTTTTTTTTAATAGATTAAAAGAAGAATAAGAAGGAGAAGAAACTTACAATGGCATTGAATCCATAACGTCGGACTCCATTCCAGTTCTCCAAATCATAGGCAGTGAAGTGTTTGCAGCAAGCGGAAGCTTGAAGATGATTCCCAATCCGACCACCTTGGAAGCTGTCACCTTGAACTCCTCGCACGAACGCCACCGCGTATTTCCCGGTCGTTGTCGGGTCTTCGCCTGGCGTTTCTTGGCCTCTCCCCCATCTTGGGTCTCTGAATATGTTTATGTTTGGTGCCCAGAACGTGAGCCCCGAAGCTTGACCTCCATTGTACACCGCCCTTGCCTCTCTCCCAATCACCTTCAGTACAGTAAAGTTAACAACAAATTAAATCCAATTACTTAGCTTCAAGAAAACAATTATTTAAAAGCTAATTGAAACGAGAGTTGGATCTGTAAATTGCCTGGCCAATGCGGTACCAGAGGTCTTCGTCGAAAGAGGCGCCGGTGAGGATGACTTGAGGGAAGCTGGTGGCGGCGCTGATCGGACCACTCAACGAAATGCCTTTTCCGACGTTGGCCACTCCGTGCAGCGCCTCCGACCACCAGTTGTATGCCGGAATGCCGAGGCGGGGAATGGCGGCGGCGGAGTTCACGAGCTGGGAGATCTTCTCGTCGAGCGTGAGGCGAGAGACCAGATCCCTGACTCGGAGGCGGATGGAGAGATCCGGCTGGCAGAAGCGGAAGGCTTTGGTTTGTGGGTCGGAGGGATCGCAGGAGAACGGCGGCGGAGCCGAGTGGACGGAGCTAATAAGGAGTAATGCGAGGCAAAACACGGCTGCGAAGCCATGGAGTTTCATGGTTAGACGAGTAGCGAGCTGAGTGAGAAGATGAAGATGGCAAGCGAGAAGTGATGTGTCAAACTCTAGGTAAGATTTTATAACTATTTATAGACCCAAAAAGCTTAGACTGAAATTTTTATTTTATTTTTCTCAATGGCTAATGTAAAATAAAAATATCAATTAAAAAAATTAAAAAATTGAGAAAATAAAACCTAAGAATTTAAATTCTAAGTCTATACAAAAAATCTGGGGCAAGTATCCCCACGATATCAGCAAATATCAATAGATTATGTCCCAGATATTAATGCATTGATTTTGAAATATAGAAGATGTTAGTTGTGGATTTTCAACATTTCATTATGTAAATATGGTTACGTAGAAAGAAAGTATTGCTTATAAGATAAACATCTAATACTTAAAATCAATTCAGGTCTTCAAACATATTAATTTTTAAATTAAAACATTGATTTTAAATTCACTAAAGTTATAACATAATAATCGTTAAACTTATATTGCCCATTTGCTCTAACACGATGAATCAAGAAAAGGAGAATTGTAAAGAAAGGATGAAAGAACGAGAAAGAACATTAAAAGTTTGGGAGCGTTAATTTATGTTTCTTTATTCCAAACTAAGACCATATATATACAATATATTTAATTTAAAGAATGCAATAATGAAAAATATTTACATAGCTATTACAAACATTAAAAGACTGAATTATAATGTCCAAAAAATATATAATATTTATAACAATAATTGCAATTTTTGTCTATAAAAATCAAGGTCTATTGTTTTTAGCTTAATCTACAAAGTAGTGTAGGAGTTTCATCACCAAATGTATGTATGGGAACCATGCAAGTCTTCATCATGCCTAATGAACTGCTCATCAACTATTATGTCTGATAGAACAAATCAATTTAGGATGTGTTTGGTTCGCACATAGGAATCGGAATCGGAATGGGTATCAAATACTTGGTAATGGTAATGGGTTTTGGTGAAAGTATTTAACATGTTTGGTAGTATGGTGGAATGAGAATGGTTACTAATAGTAGTGTTTGAAAATGAATAAGGGAATGAAACCATTATTGTATTTGGGTATGAGTTTTTCAATTGATGGGGTATTCGAAACCCATAGTAGTGTTCTAAAAACCTATCAACCAAACAACAACAATCACTTTCATACCCATTCCTATGGGCAAAACCCACCAACTAAACACACCCTAGTGTAAGCAATGTGTATATAAAAATGTATGAGAAGAGGAAAATCTTGCATTGGTTAGCCATTGAATAAATTAAAAAAGTGAGCAGAGTAGAGATGAGAAATTATGTTCTTGATTGTGTGTATGGAATGGCTATTGAATTATCCCTCTGATCCCCTTGTGCTGAAGGGTAGGGGTGTGCAAATTTCGGAAAAACTTCGGTTAACTGACCGAATCGACGAAATTCGGTTAACCGTTTTCGAACCGAAATATTTCAGTTCGGTTAATGGTTAAAAATTTTCCTAAAGTTTGGTTAACGGTTAATTCGGTTCGAAAGTGTCGGTTAACCGAATTTTGGAATATATATATAATATATAATATATTAAATATTAAATATATAATTACTAAAATCATAAATAGTCAAAATGTCAAATAGAATAAATAATAATCTGAATTTATTATGATATTTATTTTATTTTAATTGGAATTATTATTTTAGGAATTATTTTATGGATTTTAAATTTTAGGGTTAAAAATTTCGGTTAATCGGTCGTCGGTTAACCGACCGATTAACCGAAAAAAAGTTCGATTCGATCAATTCGGTAGAGTAAATTTCGGTTTGGTTAACGGTTAAAGCAAAAAAAAAAAATCAGTTAATTCGGTTCGGTTAAAACGGTTTGGTTAACCGAATGAACACCCCTACTGAAGGGTTAAGGCCCTTATATAGGTGGAGACCCTAACTTTCATGAATAAAATATTTTATAAAGAGCACTTGATCCTGACTTGAACATGAAAGTATATTTAGAGAATAATTCTTATTAATATCAATTCAGGATGTGTTTGACTAACGGGTGATTGGTTGCACCAATGTGTTTGACTATTAGTTATAGGTTGGTTTGTAATTGCGCCTTTGATTAATTAATAAAGCCAAAATGGAGTAGTGTGATGTGGGTGTTTGGGTGAAAGATGCGTTGGTCATATCCTATATATTATAGTTGGAAAGTTTCGTTCGACTGAGAAAGCACTAATCTTGAATTGGGTTGTTGTCCGGCCTACTAATTGTGAGCGGTACCTACTACCTACTACCTAGTACCTACTTTGGGGCTTGGCATTTTGTACCATGAACTAGGATTCACAGTGCATATATATATATATATATATATAGTTAATTCCAACAATGGTCCTCCGACTATTGCGATTTTCTAAAATTAGTCCTTGTCTTTTAATTTGGACAAAATAAACCCTTAACTATCATATTTGTTCCAGCATTGGTCCTTCCTTTAGAGATCAGTTAGTATAAGGGCTAAAATTGTCTTTTCCTTAGCTATTGCTTTCTTCTCTCATATGCCTTGTTCTCCTTCGTTCTTCTCCGATCTTACCACTGCCCGCATTTGTTCTCTCTACGATCTTACAAATTTGAATTACTACAAAACTTTAATCGCATCCACTGGGATGTTGTTAACTGCATGCGAAGGAGGAGACAAAATATTACCAATAGGAATAGACACTGCCATATGTTGCCAGGTCTCCCAAAGATGTTGCGCCTCATGCAGAACATTAGTAGGATTCCAATGTTTATTGTTCCATACTGCATCATTTCTTCCATGCCAAATACTCCAACATAAAGCAGCAATTCTGAGTTTTGTCATCTCATCACCATGCAATAATAGATGAAGCAGCCAAGTGATGACATCTTCATCATCTATAGGAAGAGAGACATTCATTAACATTTGCCACAAAGGGACAACTCTATCACATTCACACAGTTCTGACCTCTTTGATTATGAAGGCTTCTTACTTCTTAGTTGCCTATATAGGTATGCAAATGAGCTTTCAATTCATTATGAAAAAATGAGGAAAAAAATTCAATATATCTTAATTTAATTTAAAGCTGAGAGCTTTGGAGACCTGGAAGAATGTAGTTTTCATATCATTCCTCAAATGTATATTCACACAGGCTGAGAACATTCATGGTACTAATAACAACAAGAAACAGTAGAACTTAGCACTAAATTCTATCTACCCAAGGGAGGAAATTGCTATTCTGGAACCAAAATAAAAACCACATATCAATGCCTGATCGCCACAGGAAGTTTCTTCTCTGCATCTAATCTTCATCGGCGGAGGGCTTGGACGAGCCGCCGGTCTTCTTGGGAAGCAGAAGGTTGTGAATGTTGGGCATGACACCGTAGTTAGCAATCGTCACATCTCCGAGCAGCTTGCTCACTGCTCAGCTCCTCGTCGTTCCTCACGGCCAATTGGAAAATTGAGGCAATTTGAGGAAGCCTAGAAACTGAATTGGGGAAAATGAAGGAAATTCGACGGGGCGAGTTTAATAGACATCAAAATACCTCAGCAACAAGGTATTCAAGCACAACGACGAGATATACCGAAGCTCCGGCACCAACACGCTCGGCGTATTTTCCGGCCTTGAGGAACCGAGCGATACGACCGCGGCGAACTGGAGACCGACCTTGCTGCTCCGGGACTGAGCCTTCTTTGCGGCACCAAAACCGAGAGTCTTTCCACGTCCGGCAATCTTTGTTATCACCGCCAACAAACTGAAACAGATAAAAGCCAAAAGCAGGAAGAACAAATGTTGGAGTAAAATCAGATTTGTAGACTGTACACTAACGTAGAGAGAATGCAGGCGGTAAAATAAGATTTGTAGTAATTCAGATTTATAAGATCGTATAGAGAGAACAAATGCGGGCGGTGGTAAGATCGGAGAAAAACGAAGGAGAATAAGGCTGAGGGAAGAAGAAAGCAATAACTAAGGAAAAGGCTATTTTTGCCCCTACACTAACACCTAACTAACTGATTTCGAACGGAAGGAACAAATTTGATAGTCAAGGGTCTATTTTGTCCAAATTAAAAGACGAGGACTAATTTTGGAAAATCGCAATAGTCGGAGGATCATTGCTGGAATTAACTCTATATATATATATATATATATATATATATATATATATATATATATATATATGTTATGTTGTGAGTTTTTTTTTTTTTTTTTTTTTTTTTTTTTTGTATTGTGTTATGAAATTTTGTATTTTAAGGGTATAAATTATGTACCTGAAACAAATTAATAATTATGTCTTATGTTCTGAATTTTTGTGTCATGTGTTGTGAAATTTTGTGCTTATGAACATAAATTATATACCTAAATCAGATTTAAAAAATAAGTAAATATATAACATGTATATGTGTCTTATATTATAAAATTTTGTGACTTACGAGTATAAATTTTGTACTTCGTCATTTTGATATAATACAACGTGAACCCTGGTCCACGATATAAGAGACAAGATTCTTAAAATGTATGTGGGGCTTCCAGTTTTCGTTTTGGGTGCAATTAACGTGGGCTTTTGATTGCCTTAGCTTGTGCTCCCATAGAGGTTCTTATGGCTATGAGCTGTACTTTCATTTCTTTACTCACCTAAATCTCCTACGTTGTCGCTAAAATTAAATCTTAAGTTAGACTTCTTATTTACTAGACTAATGTCTCGTGTACTTATATTTTTCTTATTCTTCATTAGACATATTCATTCGGATCTAAATCATTTATGATTGGATTGCAACCCATTTCATCAAACACTTTTGATGAATCCTCGTTGGCATTCATGAACAAATAGTTGTCTGATGGGTAGAGGATTTGGAAGGTGTCGGAGTTTGAATGCAAATCTATGAAATGCTAGAGTTTGAAGAAATAGATTTTTGATTTTTGACAAGGACGGTATAAGGTTAGTTTATTTTTTTGAATTTGGTGTCCAGCTTGTTTTTGTTTGGGAGGGAGAAGACAATGGAGAGTAGTGATAGGTGGAGATGATTGCGGTTAGTGATGACTTTAAAAGTGGAGACCGTGATTTAAGTTTTAAAATATGAATTCTCGACAAAAATGGAAGTTCATTATTCTCTAGTCATGAATACGATAAAAATTGTAGATAAAGTTGTTAGAATAGTTGAATGTTGAAGAACACTATGTTTGGCAGTGAATCTTAGCTGATTGATTTTATGGTTTATTTGAAATATATTAAGTATTAATATGTTCATTTTTATGCGGTCGAAAACACGTAGACAAAATTAAGTGAAAATGATGCCTCTTCCTTGGTATTGAATGGTTTGTTCACTTCGAATGAACTTAATGCTCATCTAATGTGTTCTTTAAAAAAAATGCTCAAAATAATGTGGACACCAAATCTATTAAATTTGCTAAAAAAGTCACAGCCATGAACCAATTCTACAAATTTTAAAAATCGTGGATCAAAGTTATTAGTGACACCATAGTCGTAGGACCAAATGTGCAAAAAACTCAAAAAAACAATATAACATGAAACTTAAAATTCCTAAAAAAAAAACACAAAATAATTTTTAAAAAGTGAAGAAAAAAAACAAATGAAAAACTTTAAAAGAAAAGAAAAAAAAATACTCCATATAAAATAAAGAAATTAAGTATTCCAAATAAAAATACCTACAAAAGTTATTTAAAAAATACATAATTCAAAACTATAAAATATGTAAAAAGAATGTTAAAAGAAAAAATTTAACTAAATGAACAATAAATAGGGGAAAATAATGCAAGGAAAGAAAAAAAAAAACTAAAAGAATGAAAAAAAAAAAAGTGAAAAGTAATGAAAATCAATATCAATAAAGCAAAAAAGTAAGAACTAAATATATATTTCTATAAAAATAATGAAAATCAATTAAAAAAGTAAAAATAACACTTAAAAAAAAACAAAATATAAATATGTATCTAAAAATTAAAAAGCTTCAACCATGCACCATAAATAGACAAAAACAACACTATAAAATGCTAAAAAATATTCCGTGGGAAGAAAAAGAATTAAAGGTCCGTTTACAAAATCCGTAAAGTGACTTAACATCAGGAAGCCCATTTTTATTTTTTATTTTTATTTTTATTTTGCAGTGCTTTGGTAGTGAAGGAAAATGAAACCAAAAAAAATACTCATTATTGTCAATGAAAAGAGAGACTCAATTGGGCGGAAAATGTGTTCCTAATTTGTTATTCCAAAAACATTTTCCGTATTCTTTATTTTTACCATTATCTCTTCACTCTTATTTTTTAAGTTAGATTCACAATAATTATTGTTACCACCAACACCACCACAATACACCAACATCAACACCACCACACCACAACACAACCATACCATCACCACTACCACACCACGACACAACCATACCATACCATACCACAACCACTACACCACCACCACCATCAACAACACATATTATTATTACGAGAAAGATCCCGTAAAAACTTGAAAGCAGAACCACACACGGATGAATAGACATCGTGTTAAGAATTGGCAGAACGAGGGAGTGAAACCACATTACCAGTATGCCAACTAGCGCCAAAACTGGGCAATATTTCCATTGTAGGAGGTCCTGCACTTGAAGAATACAATACATCATGAGCAAATAATGGAACTATAGGATATGGGTATATGGATTAGTCACAGCAGTGCACCTGTAACAAGAATGACAATCCGATAAGGAAGCAACCCAAGCATGTTCCTGAAGCAGAAATCTGCAGCGTTCATAGAATTGGTACTGACTCGTGTTATTGTTAGGATCAAATGCTTACCACTACGCCAAAAGCTATAATTGGTAGCGAAGGTGCAACTTTATTTTCTTATACCGCCATCATATTTTCGAGAGGCAGGGTATTGGACTTGACACTTTACTGGCCTCTGCCCAACAATCTCCCTAGCCACCAATGGCTGGACTTGGCCTATTACCGCCACCGCCAACGGCTATCGTGCCAAGCCTCTAGTTTAACTAATAATCAAAAAAGAAATATAAAATAACACCTTTGGAATCATACCATCAGTAATGGAAGCCTTCCAGACTTGTCCATAAGGAGGACTCCTACAACAGTCATAGGGACCTGAAGATGACACCAAATGATGTGAAAATAGGTAGAGTAAAAATGGTGGGTGGGCAAGAAGCTTAACAAATAGATGGTTTAGACGGAAACCTGTACAACCACCATCTATATCGTTCCAATCCTACCTGAGAAACCTGTGAGGGTTTAAGGATTAACACACTAGTTCTCGTCAACTTAAGTTTCACTTAAGCGGGCGACTGCTTACCTGCAGATTCAAAAATCGAGCTTGCATAATAGGCAATCACATTTACACCTCCAAATTGTTGAAGTACCATTAGACCTGGATGATGTGCTCATGAATCATCTGAAGAAAAATGAAAATAAACGTGGTAAAACATACATGCTTGAGCTCGGTTAAGAAGGCCTTACAATGAGAGAATGAGCATATTTCCTTTGGAACAAGTCAATCAAATTAGACTCGGACAGTTGTTGAAGGGTTTCTGTATAACCCTGCCAAATATACACAAGCACTACTACTTTCAGTCACACAAGCAGAATAAGAAAGCAATGATCAATACATGCAATACGTCGAATACAATCAAGTTAGAAAAATACTCGAATTTCAGAAGCTTCTTCTGAAATGTTGACATTCTCTCCCCTAAGGTGCTTTAAGGATTCTTCACATTCTTTCCACCCTACCACTTTTAGCCTGTAAAAAAAAAAAGAGACATTATAAGCTTGGTACAGCTACACAGTTGTTCCTGAAAGCAATACGAGTGACAAGTTATCTGTCAGAAAATGCAGTTCATATTTATGTCGAAATTGTTTCAATTAAACCTATGTTTTTTATTCAATATATCATCCATAACACACCTACTTACAAAAACAAAAGAAAAGAAACAAAAAAATATAGATATTGTAAAGTTATATTTGCCTAAAATTTTCATTCAACTTACCAGCCATCTCGGAGATTCAGGAATGAAAAGCAAGCCCAAGAGCTGAAGTATAGATGCAAGCATTCCTGGAATGATGTTAAAAAAAGCCTAATATTCCTCTCATTTGAAAAAAAAACACACACACACACACTCATGAAGAAATGGGGGTAACCCCAGCCAAGATAGCTAAGGATACAAACTTGTAACCTTGGTCACGAGTTGGAATCCCAACCTTCTTGGTTTGAGCCGGTTAGCCATGGGCAGCCTAAGCTGGTTTACCTCTTTGTGGTCCTTTGCCAACTACGGTTACAAAGTTGGGTAGGGTTTACCCAGTGCACACCCTCGGGTAGTGACTAAGGGTTTCCTTGTCACCCCAAAAGAATGGAGAGCAGAGTCAACAGAAATTACCAATAACAGCGAGTCGGCGCCATGCAAGATGACGGCTCCAACAAGATATGTTACTGATACACCACAACATATCATCAACTGGAGCAACAATGACCCTTTTTAGCCTCAAAAGTTAGAAATTCAGTGTGAACATAAAAAATCCAGAATTGTATTTGTTACCTGATTGACAGTTGTAAAAGCACCACGAAGATTCTTAGGTGTTATTTCTGCTACATACACAGGAACCTGCATATAAATGCATAAGAGATATTCTACTTGCTCCAAAATAGGTTTAAAAAAAAAACTGGATAATACATTGCATTTACCACATATGAAAGAACACCAATTCCAAATCCAATTAATAGCCTTCCAATGTCCAGCCACCAAGCATTCTGACAAGAATAGGAAAAGTAGCACTATAAATTCATTTGACACAAAATTAACTAATGCAAACTCTTCTATTTCTTTTCTGAGTTCAAAAATGTGTCAAAAGACATTTCAATCAGGTCAAGAACTTTATGCTCAGTAAAAACTAAACTACTAGCCAAAAGCTATAGCTCGTAGCGAAGGCACAACTTTATTTCCTTATAGACCACCATCACATTTTCGAGAAGCAGGTTGCTGTAGCTGGTCCTTCACCGACCTCTGCCCGACAATCTCCTAGCCACCAATTTGATGAACTTGGGCCTTTACCGGACTCCGCCCAACATAAACCATTAAATGAATGAAGAGGTAGAATACCTGACCAAATATAACTGCAAGCCATCCAACAAGGCCAAATAACTCTGAGAACCCCATTGCCTGCATTATTCAATAAAAAACTAATCACGGATACCTTCAGCTCTAACTCATAACAATGTATATATTCCTAGATGTTTAAGAAAAAAAATTGGAACATACTCCTCTTCTTGCAAATAGATCTGCTATTTTGCCACTCATAATTGTGCCTAGCATTGCTCCAATTGTTAAAATTGAACCAAATAAGGAATACTGCAAAACATAGCCAATTGAAGATGATGCAAAGAAAACCGAAAAATTCATTTAAAGAAGAACAAGAACATAATTTGTTTAGTAACCAAAACCAAAGAAGAGACTCAAGCATTAGATAAGTTATATTTTTCCTAACAGTGAGCATCACACTCTTAACATATATTAGCACTCATTGGATTAAAGTGGTTCACATTAAGCATTTCTTGGCATCCATATCATGGATTTTACTGCAATAAACAGCAATTATAATAATAATAATAATTATTATTATTATAGCAAATAATATGTTCATTTTTAGAAAATTGAACCAAACAGAAAAAAGACAATTTCTTAATTTTCAGCCAAACAAAAAAAAAGTTTTTGACATTTATCCACACATCAAAAAATTAAAATACTTCTCAAAAATTAATCATTTTTCGAACAACAACCGAAAAATTCATTTAAAGAAGAACAAGAACATAATTTGTTTAGTGACCAAAACCAAAGAAGAGACTCAAGCATTAGATAAGTTACATTTTTCCTAACAGTGAGCATCACACTCTTAACATATATTAGCACTCATTGGATTAAAGTGGTTCACATTAAGCATTTCTTGGCATCCATATCATGGATTTTACTGCAATAAACAGCGATTATAATAATAATAATAATTATTATTACTATTATTATTATAGCAAATAATATGTTCATTTTTAGAAAATTGAACCAAACAGAAAAAAGACAATTTCTTAATTTTCAGCCAAACAAAAAAAAAGCTTTTGACATTTATCCACACATCAAAAAATTAAAATACTTCTCAAAAATTAATCATTTTTCGAACAACAATATCCAGCTTTCCAAACAGACATTAAATATTCCTAATAAAAATACCTAAAAAAATTATTTTAAAAATGTCCGAAATTGACTTTGAAAATACACAATGAAAACTAAAAATACTTAGAGAGAATATTAAAAAAGCAAAATAAGTAGTCAAAAAAGAAGAGTTAAAAAAGTACCAAATTAAAGAAGTAAAAAAGAAACAAAATATAACATGAACTGGAAAAAAGAAAAACATAAAATTCCTAAAAAAAACACAGAAAATCATTTTTAAAAGTGAAAAGAAAATGAAAAACTTTAAAAGAAAAGAAAAGAAAAAAGACTCCATATAAAATAAATAAATTAAATATTCCAAATAAAAATACCTACAAAAGTTATTTAAAAAATATAAGTACTTGGAAAATACATAATCGAAACTATAACTATGTAGAAAGAATGTTAAAAAGAAAATAAAAAAATTAACTAAATGAACAATAAATAGGGGAAAATAATGCAAGGGAAAAAACAAAAAGAATGAAAATAAAAAAGTGAAAAGCACCCGAAAAATTCAACAACAAAAAAAAAACCTACATATTTCGATAAAAGGTAACATATATATATATATATATATATATATATATATATATATATATATATATATATATATATCTATGTGTGTGTGTGTACTAAAAATTATTTGGGAACAAAAATTCTATGACCTGCTTCATGATCACACACAACAAATGGGAAAAGGAATCCAGCTTTCCTAGTTTTTATTTTTCCTCTTCAGTTCTTCCATTTAGTAGAAGATAGGAAAAACAAATATCGTGCAAAGTGAAAATGATTTTGCCAACCAAGGATAAGATGAAGATATTACCATAGTCTAATTAAAGAATGAGCATATTTCCTTTGGAACAAGTCAATTAAATTAGACTCGGGCAGTTGTTGAAGGGTTTCTGTATAACCCTGCCAAATATACACAAGCACTACTACTTTCAGTCACACAAGCAGAATAAGAAAGCAATGATCAATACATGCAATACGTCGAATACAATCAAGTTAGAAAAATACTCTAATTTCAGAAGCTTCTTCTGAAATATTGACATTCTCTCCCCTAAGGTGCTTTAAGGATGCTTCACATTCTTTCCACCTACCACTTTTAGCCTGTAAAAAAAAAAAGACATTATAAGCTTGGTACAGCTACACAGTTGTTCCTGAAAGCAATACGAGTGACAAGTTATCTGTCAGAAAATGCAGTTCATATTTATGTCGAAATTGTTTCAATTAAACCTATGTTTTTTCTTCAATATATCATCCATAACACACCTACTTACAAAAACAAAAGAAAAGAAACAAAAAAATATAGATATTGTAAAGTTATATTTGCCTAAAATTTTCATTCAACTTACCAGCCATCTCGGAGATTCAGGAATGAAAAGCAAGCCCAAGAGCTGAAGTATAGATGCAAGCATTCCTGGAATGATGTTAAAAAAAGCCTAATATTCCTCTCATTTGAAAAAAAAACACACACACACACACTCATGAAGAAATGGGGGTAACCCCAGCCAAGATAGCTAAGGATACAAACTTGTAACCTTGGTCACGAGTTGGAATCCCAACCTTCTTGGTTTGAGCCGGTTAGCCATGGGCAGCCTAGGCTGGTTTACCTCTTTGTGGTCCTTTGCCAACTACGGTTACAAAGTTGGGTAGGGTTTACCCAGTGCACACCCTCGGGTAGGGACTAAGGGTTTCCTTGTCACCCCAAAAGAATGGAGAGCAGAGTCAACAGAAATTACCAATAACAGCGAGTCGGCGCCATGCGAGATGACAGCTCCAACAATATATGTTACTGATACACCACAACATATCATCAACTGGAGCAACAATGACACTTTTTAGCCTCAAAAGTTAGAAATTCATTGTGAACATAAAAACTCCAGAATTGTATTTGTTACCTGATTGACAGTTGTAAAAGCACCACGAAGATTCTTAGGTGTTATTTCTGCTACATACACAGGAACCTGCATATAAATGCATAAGAGAAATTCTACTTACTCCCAAATAGGTTTAAAAAAAAAAAACCGGATAATACATTGCATTTACCACATATGAAAGAACACCAATTCCAAATCCAATTAATAGCCTTCCAATGTCCAGCCACCAAGCATTCTGTCAAGAACAGGAAAAGTAGCACTATAAATTCATTTGACACAAAATTAAGTAATGCAAACTCTTCTCTTCTTTTTTGAGTTCAAAAATGTGTCAAAAGACATTTCAATCAGGACAAGAACTTTATGCTCAGTAAAAACTGAACTATCAGGATCAAACGCTTATCACTATGCCAAAAGCGATAGCTCGTAGCAAAAGGCACCACTTCATTCCCTTATAGACTACCATCACATTTTCGAGAGGTAGGGTACTGGACTTGGTCCTTCATTGACCTCTGCCCGACAATCCCCCAGCCACCAATTGATGGACTTGGCCCTTTACGGCCTCCGCCCAACATAAACCATTAAATGAATGAAGAGGTAGAAAATACCTGACCAAATATAATTGCAAGCCATCGACAACAAGGCCAAATAACTCTGATAACCCCATTGCCTGCATTATTCAATAACAAACTAATCACGAATACCTTCAGCTCTAACTTATAACAATGTATATATTCCTAGATGTTTAAGAAACAAAATTGGAACATACTTCTCTCCTTGCAAATAGATCTGCTATTTTGCAGCCCATAATTGCGCCTATCATTGCTCCAATTGTTAAATTGAACCAAATAAGGAATACTGCAAAACATAGCCAATCGAAGATGATGAAAAGAAAACCAAATAGAGAAAAATTCATTTAAAGAAGAACAAGAACATAATTTGTTTAGTGACCAAAAGCAATGAAGAGACTCAAGCATTAGATTGAGATTTGAGAAATACCTAGCTACATAGGTATTCTTGGGAGTTATATTTTTCCTAACAGTGAGCATCACTCTCTAACATATAATAGCACTCATACAAGAATCCACATGAAAGCCTTTTTATTCACTATTCTGAAATGGATTAATGTGGTTCAAATTAAGCATTTCTTGGCATCCAAATCATGGATTTTACTGCAATAAACAGCGATTATTATAATAATAATAATATGTTCATTTTTAGAAAATTGAACCAAACAGAAAAAATACAATTTCTTAATTTTCAGCTAAACCAAAAAAAAAAAAAAAAAAAAAAAGTTTTTGACATTTATCCACACATCCAAAAAATTAAAATACTTCCCAAAAAATTAGTCATTTTCTGGAAATCATTTTCCGAAAAACAATATCCGGGTTTCCAAACGGACCTTAAATATTCCTAATAAAAATACCTACAAAATATATTTTCAAAATATGTCCGAAATTGACTTTGAAAATACGCAATGAAAACTAAAAATACTTAAGAGAGCATATTAAAAAAGCAAAATAAGTAGTCAAAAAAGGAGAGTTTAAAAAGTTTAAAAAGTACAAAATTAAAGGAGTAAAAAAGAAAAAAAAATATAACATGAACTGGAGAAAAAAAAAAAAAAAACTTAAAATTCCTAAAAAAAAAACAGAAAATCATTTTTAAAACTGAAAAAAAAAAATGAAAAACTTTAAAAGAAAATAAATAAAAAATACTCATATAAAATAAAGAAATTAAATATTCCAAATAAAAATACCTACAAAAGCTATTTAAAAAATATACCTACGTACTTAGAAAATACATAATCAAAACTATAAATATGTAGAAAGAATGTTAAAAGAAAACAAATTAACTAAATGAACAATAAATAGGAGAAAATAATGCAAGGAAAAAAACTAAAAGAATGAAAATAAAAAGTGAAAAGCACCCCAAAAATTCAATAAAAAACAAAAAATAAATAAATATTTCCATAAAAAGTAATATATATATATATATATATATATATATATATATATATATATATATATGTACTAAAAAATTATTTGGGAACAAAAATTCTATGACCTGCTTCATGATCACACAACAAATGGGAAAAGAATCCAGATTTCCTAGTTTTTAGTTTTCTTCTTCAGTTCTTCCATTTAGTAGAAGATAGGAAAAACAAATATCATTCAAAGTGAAAATGATTTTGCCAAACTATTGAGATAAGATGAAGATATTGCCATAGTCGGATTAAAATTAAAAAGTTAACAGAGAAGTATACCTTTTGCCTCATTTGGTTCTTCCACTTTGACATCCGTGTTCAATCAAATGCAGATGTTGCCTGATATATTTCAAACAGAATTCAAAACACAAGATCTTTAGACAACAATACAAGGATAGAAGAGCATCTCAGGCTCCCATAGGATAATAGTCAATTAGTCATACTGTTATACAAGTCAATAATACTCACAATTCCAAAAGGAAGCTCCTCCCCACTAGCTTGCACTAGACCAGAACATAATCTGTTCAGCTTCAAAAGTGGCCAAAGCAAGTGAACATTATAGATCACATCATCCAAAGCATGGAACACGACAGGCAGGGCAACGGCGGTTCTCACAGGATCGGCAGCTAAGCATATGTCAATCCTACCATTTATGCCCAAATCACTCTTCAACGATAAATCTTCGAGTAATTGACTAAAATATGGCAGCATCTTATTGACAAAATATAGGGAACTATCTGAAACAGAGTTTAAAGAAGTTCTCATGTTTCTAAAAGTAGAAAGAATGCCAAAAAACATAATGAACAATAAAAAAGAGAAAATTATCCAAGAGAGAATTTTAAAAACTAAAAAGAATACTTGAAAGCGCATGTTCGAAATATTCTGTCAGTTGTGTACGTGAGTTAGGATTTTACTGATTCCCCAGCATGTGGGTCATTAGTCTCAGACTTGGATGTGTCCTTTGCAGTAGCTGGTTGATTACTGGGACCATGATGCTCGGTCTCTTTTACATATTCCTGGTACTAGAACCATTGCTTGTAATCGATTTGGGAGATGTATTCACAGCATGACTGACGTCTTCAGAACATACATCTTTTTGGGTATCCTCAGCCCTCTGATAAAACAAGAGATTGATTATTGCAACTGCTCCATCTGAAGAACATGCCTGGCTTGCCTCATCTGAAGATGCAGTAGCTGCTTCACTCCCAACAGTCTAACAAAAATCCACAATGAAAAATGATGTTAGCACATGAAACAAACTCCAAGAAACTGGGGAACAAAAAATTTGTAGCCAAAAGTCCCATCAAGGAAAAATAATTTTACAACATCAGCTCTGCTTGAAAGTCATGATTTAGAGAGGCCAAAAAGAAACCCAATGAAGAGATAATAACTTCTTTTAATACTCCAAAATTCCATATAGAGAGACTATAATAACCAAACAAGAGATTAACTTACCAATTGGTTTTTCAAAGTATGATCACTACCATGCTCAACAACTATAGTAGTTCCTTCCAGTATTGAGGTAACAACTTTACTGTATTCATGCAAAGAGAGATCCAAAGATTTTACAGCTTGTGTCAAGTAAGGCTTTAGTTTCAATGCACTGTCTGCAAACACTTTCTCCCCCAACCTTTTACCAATTGGCATAATATCCTGGAAGATAGTAAACAATCAGAAATAGTCAAGGACTGCCCAAAGAATTTAGGAAACAAAGACTAGACCTTGCTGACCTTTTTCACACTAGCCAATAGCTGGGTAAGCAACTCCACAGATACATCTTCGCTTTCTTCTATTATAAGACTCATTATTGTTGCCATGGATGAGAAGACACTATCTGGATGAGAATCTCTGTAGGTTGAATATAGAGCAAAGAGCAGTTAGAAAACTTCACTTCCATCAGTATGAAACCTCCTAGTACCATCATAACTCTTATCTTAAATACAGGCAAAGCTGCAAAAATGAATCAATAAATTATCAACACTTACAGTAATTTTCTTAAATTTATAAAATAAAATAAAATAAAAAGTAACTAACCATCTCTTGCACCCCCATTGTGCATATAAACAAATTTCAGCTCTCCATAGTGCACTGTTAGAATTTTATGAGATCAGTTTATACAAACCATAAACAAATATAGGAAACTGTTCTATGATGGCATTGACAGGCAAATTTCAAGAAATACTAGATCCTCTTTTTTGCATAAAGGATATGTTCAAGTAACCATAGGCTTATTGAGAATATAAGTATCAACGTAACCATAAAGGATATACCCTTGGAACAGTTGGAAGACAGTTTCCAGAAGCATATTGCACACAATAGTAAAATGTAATCAGATAAAACTTCCTCAATCAAGGGAATGTGTACAAAAAAAAATTCTTTAGCATTTAAGCCTGTTACATGAAAAACACTATAAAAAAAAATAAAAAATAAAAAATAAAAAAATAAAAAATAAAACTCTTGAATAGCAAATTGGTACATAAAAATGGTTTTCAATATGATCCCTTTACTGCAGTATTGAAAGGCTTGAACATTGAACACATGCAAGAAAACCAACTCTAAAGAAATTCAATAGCATAAGTATGGTCTCTTAATACTGATCTAGTAATCTCCCAAATTATTATTTTCCTTTTTTATGGTAAGTAATATCCAATCCCTAATTTAGATGTCCAGGATGTTAATATTCACCTTTATGTCACTACACCAGCCAAATAAGATGAAAATCATTTTTAAAATGTTAAAAAAATTGAAAACTATAAACGAAAAGAAAAAACCCACAATTTTTTTTTTAAAAAAAAAAAAAACTCCTTAAAAAAATAAAGAAATTAAATATTCCAAACATAAATACCTATAAAAGTTATTGAAAAAAATTAGGTACTAAATTGTAAAACGGACTTAGAAAATACCTAATCAAAACTAAAAATATGTAGAACGAATATTAAAAGAAAAAAAAAAATGTACAAAGTGAACAACAAAAGGGGAAAATAACGCAATGAAAAAAAACCCAAAAAGAAAGAAAAAAAAAAGTGAGAAGTACCCCAAACAATTAATAAAAACTAAAAAAGAAAGAACTAAAATTTTCAAATAAACACTGAAAATCAATTAAAAATGTAAAAAAAAAATACTTGGAAAAATTTAAAATATAAATATGTATTAAAAAAATTAAAAACCAAAAAGCACAAAAATAGAAAAGCAAAAACAGCCCAAAAATTGCATGAAAACTGGGGAAAAAAAATAGGACTAATAAAAACTGAAAATAATTTCAAAACGTAAATAGAACACTTGAAATCTCTAAAAATGCAATTATATTAACAATTTTTTAAAAACCTAGAAGATCTCATAACTATTTTCTCAACCTACTGAAGCACAAAGAGTCAATACCACCCGCATCAAACCATGACCTCCCATTTGGTCATTGGCAAAATACATATAAGAGTTACTTAAAATATATAAATACTATATTGTAAAATAAACTTTGAAAATACACAATGAACTATTTTAAGAAGAACTCAAATTGCAGCAGCAGAGCAACAACAAGAAGCACAGACACACACTGAAACTCATTTTAAAACGTAAATAAAAAAAATTAAAATGCAAAAAACGCCGAAAATACTTGACAGAAGATCATTTACCTGTTAATAAACCTCATTTAATTTTTTTTTTCACTTCACTTTTCAATCTCCAGTTCAACCTGCTCAGTTATATAGACCATAACACCAGATACAATCAACAAGATTGAAGAATACACATCTTTAAATGACCTATTCCACTGGCCCTACCTTAAGAAAAAACGCTAAGATAAAGGTTCTAAGGAATTAAGGGTTAACATTAGGTTTAGGATAGTTTACCACGGTATCGATCCCAGATACTCCGCCTTCTTCACCACGTCCAGACCATCAACCACCTGCCCGAACACCGCGTGCTCGCTGTCGAGACACTCAGTCTTAGCCGTCCAGATTAATAACTGCGAGCCGTTGGTGCGGAGCCGGCATTGGCCATGGAGAGAATGCGAGGGCCGGCTTCTTCACGAAATTCTCGTTCCGGCGGTGGAGAAAGGAAAAAAGCAAATAGGAACACCGAGCAAACACCCCCACCTGGAGAGAGAGTCGGCGAAGACTGGTGAGTGTGATTGAAATTTGAGAGAGGCGGACAGAATTAAACTCTATTTTTCCCATTTCCGGCGGTGGATAAAGGAAAAAAGCAATGAAGAACACCCCCACCTGGAGAGAGAGACTGGTGTATTTCTTGCGTCATTGCGTGTATAAGAAGCTAAACTTTATTTTTAATTTTTAATTTTTAATTTTTCTTTTCTTTCTTACTCCGTATTAAAATTTGAATCATCCCTTTAAACGGTAATCTTCCGTGACTTATTTAATTTGGATTTGGATGTTCACTTATGACTTTCTCAAGTCTTTTTTTTTTTTTTTTTAATTATTGATACTAGTAATTCACCCGCGTGATGCACGTAAAAAAAATGATGTTATTATAAATATAAATAAAAAATAGAAAAAATAAAAATATTTTAAATTGTTTAATATAATAATATTTTTGAGCTTCCATCGGTCAAGTATTTCTATTTTTATAAAATATAAAATTACAATTAAAATTAAAATTAAAATTAAAATTTTGTATGGTTAATATAATCTCTAATTATGTACATATTCAAATAAACTTATAAAGAGAATTTACGTAATTACATTGATTTATTTTTAATTGTATTTCATCTATATTATAATTTTCACAATACGAATAATAACTAAGATAATTACATTTAGAAAGCAAATTTCAAATTTTGTATAAGTAAATCTTAACTATAATAAATGCAATCCTTTGTTATGGGGGAGAAAAAAATAACTATTTTATTTTTCAAATGTTATGCTTTTTTTTTTTTTTTATAGTAAAGGATGTTGTGGCTATTTTATAATAATAATAAGGATAGAGATAATTATAATAATTACTCACTAAAATAATAATTATAACATTAATTATTTCACAAATCATATAGCTTTATTATAGTTAAGATTACTCTTTTTAAATTTATTTTAAACATAATAAAATTAAATAAATTAGTTATTAATAATTAACAAAATAATTAAATGTTTAACCAGGAACGGAGTCAGGAATTCTGTTGAGGAAATGCGAAGAAGCAGGAATAAGTCCATAAATTTTTTCGAGTGAAGGCGAAACATGAAAACAAAAGAGATAATTTGAAGAAAAAAAATTATCCAAGAAATATAGGTATAAATATTGTTGAATATGAGTGAAAAATAAAAAATATCAAAATTTTATAAAAATATTTGAAACATAATTAATTTGATAAAATAATTTGAATATAAAAGACATTTTAAATTATTAATTTGATAAAATAATGTAAAATTTCCAATAAAAGATTTGAAACTTGGACCTTCATTATTATAACCAAATATGTACTCTATCGACTAATCTATCTCACTTCTTATTAACATTCATCTATTTCTTTATACTAATACTAAAACTTGTATTATATATACATATATACATACAAGGTTATATATGGGATGGAGATGGGATGGGATGGGGGTGGGGGAAGGGGGCAGCTGCCCTTACCTCCTTTGGCTCCGTCCCTGTTTAACCATTTTATCGATCTTTATTGTAAATGTTTCAGCTTATGAATAATGAATTAACTTCTTTATTTTTAAAAATAATTAACAAAATAATTAAGTTAAGAATAATAAATATTTTCAAAAAAAAAAAAAGTTAAGAATAATAAATAGTTAACGAAATATTTTATTTTTATGCTAACAGAGTGTAGGGTTATTTAAGGTAAATAATAATAATAATAATAATAATAATATAATAATAATAATAATAAAATGTAAAGTACAAAAAAATGCTAAAACTAAAATAATATGAAGTATTCATTTCATCGAATAATTTGACCGATATTCTTTAGTCCCTTTTAGTGCGTGTATATATATATATATACACACACACACATATAGTGGATATATTATATATATTGGGTATTATTATTGGCATTTAAACCCTAATAGGGACACATTTAAAGATTCAAATTACAATGTCAATAGCGTATTCCGTGATCCCTACAACTAGCAAATTAGACTCCTCTTCAATCACCATTAACCCATCTTTGTTGGCGCTGCTGAGATGGTTACAAGGGTTGATTTCAAACTGAACTTCACTTCTTCCGCCGGCCTTTAAGTTCACACTTTGGAACCCAATCAACTGTTTCAATGGGTTCCCTTCCGTCCATTTAGCAGGCTTGATGAAAAGCAGCACAGAGTGAATTCCATCCATTTCCTCAGAGTTCTCAACTCCAACAATGGCTGAGAACTTTGCATTCTCACAGATTTCCTCTCCAATTTCCTCTACCGATGTGTAATTGACTAAATTCGTTCCCTCAGCACTCTTCACAGTTGCCAGTTGGTTCAAGTTTATTGTGGTGGATGTGACAGAAGTGAACTCATAAGTAAAAAAGTTAAAAAAAGGTTAAAAAGTACAGTATAAAATTTAAGTAAAAAGAAACAAGAATTTTTTGCATTTTTGGTATCACGACTATGGTGTCACTAATAATTTTGATCCACGACTTTCTAAATTTTTAGAATTGGTCCACGACTATGACTTTCTTAGTAAATTTAGTCCTTTCAGTGTATTTTCCATTCAATTTTTGCCAGAAAAATTTACTCCACATTTTAACATGGGTAAAAAGAAAGTCATTTTACTCCACATTTTGACAAATTTACTCCCATGTTAAAATTGGAGTAAAATTATCCGTGACAAAAATTAAACAAAAATTGCACCAAAAGGACCAAATTTGCTAAAAAAGTCATAGTCATAAACCAATTCTACAAATTTTAAAAATCATAAATCAAAGTTGTTAATGACACCATAGTCGTGGGACCAAAAGTGCAAAAAACTCAAAGAATCAATATAACAAGAAACTTAAAATTCCTTAAAAAAAACACAAAATAATTTTTAAAAAGTGAAAAAAAAAAACAAATGAAAAACTTTAAAAGAAAAGAAAAAAAAAATACTCCATATAAAATAAAGAAATTAAGTATTCCAAATAAAATACCTACAAAAGTTATTTAAATAAAAAATATAAGTACTAAATTGTAAAACATACTTAGAAAATACATAATTCAAAACTATAAAATATATTAAAAGAATGTTAAAAGAAAAAATTAACTAAATGAACAATAAATATGGAAAAATAATGCAAGGAAAGAAAAAAAAAACTAAAAAAATGAAAAAAAAAAAAAAAGTGAAAAGTAATGAAAATCAATATCAATAAAGCAAAAAAGTAAGAACTAAATATTTCTATAAAAATAATGAAAATCAATTAAAAAAAGTAAAAATAACACTTAAAAAAACAAAATAAAAATGTGTATCTAAAAATTAAAAAGCTTCAAACATGCACCATAAATAGACAAAAACAACACTATAAAATGCTAAAAAATATTCCGCGGGAAGAAAAAGAATTAAAGATCCGTTTACAAAATCCGTAAAGTGACTTAACTTCAGGAAGCCACTTCTTTTTTTAATTTTGCAGTGCTTCGGTAGTGAAGGAAAATGAAACCAAAGAAAAATACCCATTATTGTCAATGAAAAGAGAGACTCAATTGGGCGGAAAATGTGTTCCTAATCGAAAAATATTTTTTTGTATTCTTTATTTTTACCATTATCTCTTCACTCTTATTTTTTAAATTAGATTCACAATAATTATTGTTACCACCAACACCACCACTACGATCAAACCACCACAATACACCAACATCAACACCACTATACCATCACCACTACCAATACCACCACCACACCACAACCACTACACCACCACCACCACCATCAACACATATTATTATTACGAGTAAGATCCCGTAAAAACTTGAAAGCAGAACCACAGACGGATGAATAGACATCGTGTTATGAAATGGCAGAACGAGGGAGTGAAACCACATTACCAGTATGCCAACTAGCGCCAAAACTGGGCAATATTTCCATTGTAGGAGGTCCTGCACTTGAAGAATACAATATATCATGAGCAAATAATGGAACTATAGGATATGGTATATGGATTAGTCACAGCAATGCACCTGTAACAAGAATGACAATCCGATAAGCAACCCAAGCATGTTCCTGAAGCAGAAATCTGCAGCGTTCATAGAATTGGTACTAACTCGTGTTATTGTTAGGATCAACGCGTACCACTACACCAAAAGCTATAATTGGTAGCGAATGTGCAACTTTATTTTCTTATACCGCCATCATATTTTCGAGAGGCAGGATACTGGACTTGACACTTTACTGGCCTCCCGCCCAACAATCTCCCTAGCCACCAATGGCTGGACTTGGCCTATTACCGCCTCCGCTCAACGGCTATCGTGCCAAGCCTCTAGAGTTTAACTAATAATCAAAAAAGAAATATAAAATAACACCTTTGGAATCATACCATCAGTAATGGAAGCCTTCCAGACTTGTCAACAGTCATAGGGACCTGAAGATGACACCAAATGATGTGAAAATAGGTAGAGTAAAAATGGTGGGTGGGCAAGAAGCTTAACAAATAGATGGTTTAGACGGAAACCTGTACAACCACCATCTATATCGTTCCAATCCTACCCGAGAAACCTGTGAGGGTTTAAGGATTAACACACTAGTTCTCGTCAACTTAAGTTTCACTTAAGCGGGCGACTGCTTACCTGCAGATTCAAAAATCAAGCTTGAATAATAGGCAATCAAATTTACACCTCCAAATTGTTGAAGTACCATTAGACCAACTCCAACCTGGATGATGCTCATGAATCATCTGAAGAAAAATGAAAATAAACATGGTACAAAATACATGGTTGAACTCGATTAGAAGGCCTTACAATGAAAGAATGAGCATATTTCCTTTGGAACAAGTCAATCAAATTAGACTCGGACAGTTGTTGAAGGGTTTCTGTATAACCCTGCAAAATATACACAAGCACTACTACTTTCAGTCACACAAGCAGAATAAGAAAGCAATGATCAATACATGCAATGCGTCGAATACAATCCAGTTAGAAAAATACTCGAATTTCAGAAGCTTCTTCTGAAATATTGACATTCTCTCCCCTAAGGTGCTTTAAGGATGCTTCACATTCTTTCCACCTACCACTTTTAGCCTGTCAAAAAAAAAAATAGACATTATAAGCTTGGTACAGCTAGTCAGCTAAACAGTTGTTCCTGAAAGCAATACGAGTGACAAGTTAAATGTCAGAAAATAATGCAGTTCATACTTATGTCAAAATTGTTCTCAATTAAACCTATGTTTTTTCTTCAATATATCATCCATAACACACCTACTTACAAAAAGAAAAGTATAAATATTGTAAAGTTATATTTGCCTAAAATTTACATTCAACTTACCAGCCATCTAGGAGAATCAGGAATGAAAAGCAAGCCCAAGAGCTGAAGTATAGATGCAAGCATTCCTGGAATGATGTTTTAAAAAGCCAAAAATTCCTCTCATTTGAAAAAAAAAAACACAAACACACACTCATGAAGAAATGGGGGTAACCCCAGCCAAGATAGCTAAGGATACAAACTTGTAACCTTGGTCACGAGTTGGAATCCCAACCTTCTTGGTTTGAGCTGGTTAGCCATGGGCAGCCTGGGCTGGTTTACCTCTTTGTGGTCCTTTGCCAACTACGGTTACAAAGTTGGGTTTACCCAGTGCACACCCTCGGGCCTCGGGTAGTGACTAAGGGTTTCCCTTGTCACCCCAAAAGAATGGAGAGCAGAGTCAACAGAAATTACCAATAACAGCGAGTTGGCGCCATGCGAGATGACGGCTCCAACAAGATATGTTACTGATACACCACAACATATCATCAACTGGAGCAACAATGACACTTTTTAGCCTCAATAGTTAGAAATTCAGTGTGAACATAAAAAATCCAGAATTGTATTTGTTACCTGATTGACAGTTGTAAAAGCACCACGAAGATTCTTAGGTGTTATTTCTGCTAAATACACAGGAATCTGCATATAAATGCATAAGAGAAATTCTACTTACTCCAAAATAGGTTAAAAAAAAAAACTGGATAATACATTGCATTTACCACATATGAAAGAACACCAATTCCAAATCCAATTAATAGTCTTCCAATGTCCAGCCACCAAGCATTCTGTCAAGAATAGGAAAAGTAGCACTATAAATTCATTTGACACAAAATTAACTAATGCAAACTCTTCTATTCTTTTCTGAGTTCAAAAATGTGTCAAAAGACATTTCAATCAGGACAAGAACTTTATGCTCAGTAAAAACTAAACTACTAGCCAAAAGCTATAGCTCGTAGCGAAGGCACAACTTTACTTCCTTATAGACCACCATCACATTTTCGAGAGGCAGGGTGTTGTAGCTGGTCCTTCACCGACCTCTGCCCGACAATCTCCTAGCCACCAATTTGATGAACTTGGCCCTTTACCGGCCTCCGCCCAACATAAACCATTAAATGAATGAAGAGGTAGAATACCTGACCAAATATAACTGCAAGCCATCCAACAAGGCCAAATAACTCTGAGAACCCCATTGCCTGCATTATTCAATAAAAAACTAATCACGGACACCTTCAGCTCTAATTATAACAATGTATATATTCCTAGATGTTTAATAAAAAAAATTGGAACATACTCCTCTTCTTGCAAATAGATCTGCTATTTTGCCGCTCATAATTGCGCCTAGCATTGCTCCAATTGTTAAAATTGAACCAAATAAGGAATACTGCAAAACATAGCCAATCGAAGATGATGCAAAGAAAACCAAAAAATTCATTTAAAGAAGAACAAGAACATAATTTGTTTAGTGACCAAAAGCAAAGAAGAGACTCAAGCATTAGATCGAGATTTGAGAAATACCTAGCTACATAGGTATTCTTGGGAAGTTACATTTTTCCTAACAGTGAGCATCACACTCTTAACATATATTAGCACTCATTGGATTAAAGTGGTTCACATTAAGCATTTCTTGGCATCCATATCATGGATTTTACTGCAATAAACAGCGATTATAATAATAATAATTATTATTATAGCAAATAATATGTTCATTTTTAGAAAATTGAACCAAACAGAAAAAAGACAATTTCTTAACTTTCAGCCAAACAACAAAAAAGTTTTTGACATTTATCCACACATCAAAAAATTAAAATACTTCTCAAAAAATTTATCATTTTTCGAACAACAATATCCAGGTTTCCAAACAGACATTAATTATTCCTAATAAAAATACCTACAAAAATTATTTTAAAAATGTTCGAAATTGACTTTGAAAATACACAATGAAAACTAAAAATACTGAGAATATTAAAAAAGCAAAATAAGTAGTCAAAAAAGGAGAGTTAAAAAAGTACCAAATTAAAGAAGTAAAAAAGAAACAAAATATAACATGAACTGGAAAAAAAAAAAAAAAAACACACAGAAAATCATTTTTAAAAGTGAAAAGAAAATGAAAAACTTTAAAAGAAAAGAAAAGAAAAAGACTCCATATAAAATAAAGAAATTAAATATTCCAAATAAAAATACCTACAAAAGTTATTTAAAAAATATAAGTATGTACTTAGAAAATACATAATCGAAACTATAACTATGTAGAAAGAATGTTAAAAAGAAAAAAAAAAATTTAACTAAATGAACCATAAATAGGGGAAAATAATGCAAGGGAAAAAACAAAAAGAATGAAATTAAAAAAGTGAAAAGCACCCCAAAAAAAAAACCTACATATTTCCATAAAAAGTACTCCGTAACATATATATATGTGTGTGTGTGTGTGTACTAAAAATTATTTGGGAACAAAAATTCTATGACCTGCTTCATGATCTCACACAACAAATGGGAAAAAGAATCCAGCTTTCCTAGTTTTTATTTTTCCTCTTCAGTTCTTCCATTTAGTAGAAGATAGGAAAAACAAATATCATTCAAAGTGAAAATGATTTTGCCAACCAATGATAAGATGAAGATATTACCATAGTCTAATTAAAATAAAAAAGGCCAAATAACAACTCGATTAGAAGCCCTTACAATGAAAGAATGAGCATATTTCCTTTGTAACAAGTCAATCAAATTAGACTCGGGCAGTTGTTGAAGGGTTTCTGTATAACCCTGCCAAATATACACAAGCACTACTACTTTCAGTCACACAAGCAGAATAAGAAAGCAATGATCAATACATGCAATACGTCGAATACAATCAAGTTAGAAAAATACTCTAATTTCAGAAGCTTCTTCTGAAATATTGATATTCTCTACCCTAAGGTGCTTTAAGGATGCTTAACATTCTTTCCACCTACCACTTTTAGCCTGAAAAAAAAAAAAATTAGACATTATAAGCTTGGTACAGCTACACAGTTGTTCCTGAAAGCAATACGAGTGACAAGTTATCTGTCAGAAAATGCAGTTCATATTTATGTCGAAATTGTTTCAATTAAACCTATGTTTTTTCTTCAATATATCATCCATAACACACCTACTTACAAAAACAAAAGAAAAGAAACAAAAAAATATAAATATTGTAAAGTTATATTTGCCTAAAATTTTCATTCAACTTACCAGCCATCTAGGAGATTCAGGAATGAAAAGCAAGCCCAAGAGCTGAAGTATAGATGCAAGCACTCCTGGAATGATGTTAAAAAAAGCCTAATATTCCTCTCATTTGAAAAAAAAAAAACACACACACACACACACTCATGAAGAAATGGGGGTAACCCCAGCCAAGATAGCTAAGGATACAAACTTGTAACCATGGTCACGAGTTGGAATCCCAACCTTCTTGGTTTGAGCCGGTTAGCCATGGGCAGCCTAGGCTGGTTTATCTCTTTGTGGTCCTTTGCCAACTACGGTTACAAAGTTGGGTAGGGTTTACCCAGTGCACACCCTCGGGTAGTGACTAAGGGTTTCCCTTGTCACCCCAAAAGAATGGAGAGCAGAGTCAACAGAAATTACCAATAACAGCGAGTCGGTGCCATGCGAGATGACGGCTCCAACAAGATATGTTACTGATACACCACAACATATCAACTGGAGCAACAATGACACTTTTTAGCCTCAAAAGTTAGAAATTCATTGTGAACATAAAAAATCCAGAATTGTATTTGTTACCTGATTGACAGTTGTAAAAGCACCACGAAGATTCTTAGGTGTTATTTCTGCTACATACACAGGAACCTGCATATAAATGCATAAGAGAAATTCTACTTACTCCAAAATAGGTTTTAAAAAAAAACTGGATAATACATTGCATTTACCACATATGAAAGAACACCAATTCCAAATCCAATAAATAGCCTTCAAATGTCCAGCCACCAAGCATTCTGTCAAGAACAGGAAAAGTAGCACTATAAATTCATTTGACACAAAATTAAGTAATGCAAACTCTTCTCTTCTTTTCTGAGTTCAAAAATGTGTCAAAAGACATTTCAATCAGGACAAGAACTTTATGCTCAGTAAAAACTGAACTATTAGGATCAAGCGCTTACCACTACGCCAAAAGCGATAACTCGTAGCGAAAGGCACCACTTCATTCCCTTATAGACTACCATCACATTTTCGAGAGGTAGGGTACTGGACTTGGTCCTTCATTGGCCTCTGCCCGACAATCCCCTAGCCACCAACCAATTGATGGACTTGGCCCTTTACGGCCTCCGCCCAACATAAACCATTAAATGAATGAAGAGGTAGAAAATACCTGACCAAATATAATTGCAAGCCATCCACAACAAGGCCAAATAACTCTGATAACCCCATTGCCTGCATTATTCAATAACAAACTAATCATGAATACCTTCAGCTCTAACTTATAACAAAGTACATATTCCTAGATGTTTAAGAAACAAAATTGGAACATACTTCTCTCCTTGCAAATAGATCTGCTATTTTGCAGCCCATAATTGCGCCTATCATTGCTCCAATTGTTAAATTGAACCAAATAAGGAATACTGCAAAACATAGCCAATTGAAGATGATGCAAAGAAAACCAAATAGAGAAAAATTCATTTAAAGAAGAACAAGAACATAATTTGTTTAGTGACCAAAAGCAATGAAGAGACTCAAGCATTAGATCGAGATTTGAGAAATACCTAGCTACATAGGTATTCTTGGGAGTTATATTTTTCCTAACAGTGAGCATCACTCTCTAACATATAATAGCACTCATACAAGAATCCACATGAAAGCCTTTTTATTCACTATTCTGAAATGGATTAAAGTGGTTCAAATTAAGCATTTCTTGGCATCCAAATCATGGATTTTACTGCAATAAACAGCGATAATAATAATAATAATAATAATAATAATAATAATAATAATAATAATTATTATTATTATTATTATTATTATTATTATTATTATTATTACTATTATTATTATTATTATTATTATTATAGCAAATAATATGTTCATTTTTAGAAAATTGAACCAAACTGAAAAAATACAATTTCTTAATTTTCAGCCAAAAAAAAAAAAAAAAAAAAGTTTTTGACATTTATCCACACATCCAAAAAAATAAAATACTTCCCAAAAAATTAGTCATTTTCTGGAAATCATTTTCCGAAAAACAATATCCAGGTTTCCAAACGGACCTTAAATATACCTAATAAAAATACTTACAAAAATTATTTTCAAAATATAAGTCCGAAATTGACTTTGAAAATAATTTTATATAAAATAAAGAAATTAAAGGAGTAAAAAAGAAACAAAATATAACATGAACTTGAAAATAAAAAATAAAAAAATAAATAAAAACTTAAAATTCCTAAAAGAAACACAGAAAATCATTTTTAAAAGTGAAAAAAAAAATGAAAAACTTTAAAAGAAAAGAAACAAAAATACTCATATAAAATAAAGAAATTAAATATTCCAAATAAAAATAAAAATACCTACAAAAGCTATTTAAAAAATATACTTACGTACTTAGAAAATACATAATCAAAACTATAAATATGTAGAAAGAATGTTAAAAGAAAACAAATTAACTAAATGAACAATAAATAGGGGAAAATAATGCAAGGAAAAAAAACTAAAAGAATGGAAATAAAATGTGAAAAGCACCCCAAAAATTCAATAAAAAACAATAAATAAATAAATATTTCCATAAAAATACATAATCAAAACTATAAATATGTAGAAAGAATGTTAAAAGAAAACAAATTAACTAAATGAACAATAAATAGGGGAAAATAATGCAAGGAAAAAAAACTAAAAGAATGGAAATAAAATGTGAAAAGCACCCCAAAAATTCAATAAAAAACAATAAATAAATAAATATTTCCAGAAAAAGTATATATATATGTACTAAAAAATTATTTGGGAACAAAAATTCTATGACCTGCTTCATGATCACACAACAAATGGGAAAAAGAATCCAGCTTTCCTAGTTTTTAGTTTTCTTCTTCAGTTCTTCCATTTAGTAGAAGATAGGAAAAACAAATATCATTCAAAGTGAAAATGATTTTGCCAAACTATGAGATTAGATGAAGATATTACCATAGTCTGATTAAAATAAAAAAGTTAACAGAGAAGTATACCTTTTTCCCCATTTGGTTCTTCCACTTTGACATCCGTGTTCCATCAAATGCAGATGTTGCCTGATATATTTCAAACAGAATTCAAAACAGAAGATCATTAGACAAGAATACAAGGATAGAAGAGCATCTCAGGCTCCCATAGGATAATAGTCATACTGTTATACAAGTTAATAATACTCACAATTCCAAAAGGAAGCTCCTCCCCACTAGCTTGCACTAGACCAGAACATAATCTGTTCAGCTTCAAAAGTGGCCAAAGCAAGTGAACATTATAGATCACATCATCCAAAGCATGGAACACGACAGGCAGTGCAACGGCGGTGAGGATCGGCAGCTAAGCATATGTCAATCCTACCATTTATGCCCAAATCACTCTTCAACGATAAATCTTCGAGTAATTGACTAAAAGATGGCAGCATCTTATTGACAAAATATAGGGAACTATCTGAAACAGAGTTTAAAGAAGTTCTCATGTTTCTAAAAGTAGAAAGAATGCCAAAAAACATAATGAACAATAAAAAAGAGAAAACTATCCAAGAGAGAATTTTAAAAACTAAAAAGAATACTTGAAAGCGCATGTTCGAAATATTCTGTCAGTTGTGTACGTGAGTTAGGATTTTACTGATTCCCCAGCATGTGGGTCATTAGTCTCAGACTTGGATGTGTCCTTTGCAGTAGCTGGTTGATTACTGGGACCATGATGCTCGGTCTCTTTTACATATTCCTGGTACTAGAACCATTGCTTGTAATCGATTTGGGAGATGTATTCACAGCATGACTGACGTCTTCAGAACATACATCTTTTTGGGTATCCTCAGCCCTCTGATAAAACAAGAGATTGATTATTGCAACTGCTCCATCTGAAGAACATGCCTGGCTTGCCTCATCTGAAGATGCAGTAGCTGCTTCACTCCCAACAGTCTAACAAAAATCCACAATGAAAAATGATGTTAGCACATGAAACAAACTCCAAGAAACTGGGGAAAAAAAAAATTTGTAGCCAAAAGTCCCATCAAGGAAAAATAATTTTACAACATCAGCTCTGCTTGAAAGTCATGATTTAGAGAGGCCAAAAAAGAAACCCAATAAAGAGATAATAACTTCTTTTAATACTCCCAAAATTCCATATAGAGAGACTATAATAACCAAACAAGAGATTAACTTACCAATTGGTTTTTCAAAGTATGATCACTACCATGCTCAACAACTATAGTAGTTCCTTCCAGTATTGAGGTAACAACTTTACTGTATTCATGCAAAGAGAGATCCAAAGATTTTACAGCTTGTGTCAAGTAAGGCTTTAGTTTCAATGCACTGTCTGCAAACACTTTCTCCCCCAACCTTTTACCAATTGGCATAATATCCTGGAAGATAGTAAACAATCAGAAATAGTCAAGGACTGCCCAAAAAAGAATTTAGGAAACAAAGACTAGACCTTGCTGACCTTTTTCACACTAGCCAATAGCTGGGTAAGCAACTCCACAGATACATCTTCGCTTTCTTCTATTATAAGACTCATTATTGTTGCCATGGATGAGAAGACACTATCTGGATGAGAATCTCTGTAGGTTGAATATAGAGCAAAGAGCAGTTAGAAAACTTCACTTCCATCAGTATGAAACCTCCTAGTACCATCATAACTCTTATCTTAAATACAGGCAAAGCTGCAAAAATGAATCAATAAATTATCAACACTTACAGTAATTTTCTTAAATTTATAAAATAAAATAAAATAAAAAGTAACTAACCATCTCTTGCACCCCCATTGTGCATATAAACAAATTTCAGCTCTCCATAGTGCACTGTTAGAATTTTATGAGATCAGTTTATACAAACCATAAACAAATATAGGAAACTGTTCTATGATGGCATCGACAGGCAAATTTCAAGAAATACTAGATCCTCTTTTTTGCATAAAGGATATGTTCAAGTAACCATAGGCTTATTGAGAATATAAGTATCCACGTAACCATAAAGGATATACCCTTGGAACAGTTGGAAGACAGTTTCCAGAAGCATATTGCACACAATAGTAAAATGTAATCAGATAAAACTTCCTCAACAAGGGAATGAGTACAAAAAAAAATTCTTTAGCATTTAAGCCTGTTACATGAAAAACACTTTAAAAAAAAAAAAAAAAAAAAAAAACTCTTGAATAGCAAATTGGTACATAAAAATGGTTTTCAATATGATTCCTTTACTGCAGTATTTAAAGGCTTGAACATTGAACACATGCAAGAAAACCAACTCTAAAGAAATTCAACTAGGAAATTCAATAGCATGAGTATGGTCTCTTAATACTGATCTAGTAATCTCCCTAATTATTATTTTCCTTTTTTATGATAAGTAATATCCAATCCCTAATTTAGATGTCCAGGATGTTAATATTCACCTTTATGTCACTACACCAGTCGAATAAGATGAAAATCATTTTAAAATGTTAAAAAAATTGAAAAACTATAAACGAAAAGAAAAAACCCACAATTTTTTAAAAAAATTTAATTTTAAAAACTCCTTAAAAAATAAAGAAATTAAATATTCCAAATATAAATACCTATAAAAGTTATTTTAAAAAATATAGGTACTAAATTGTAAAACGGACTTAGGAAATACCTAATCAAAACTAAAAATACGTAGAACGGATATTAAAAGAAAAAAAAATGTACAAAGTGAACAATAAAAAGGGGAAAATAACACAATGAAAAAAAAAAAAAAACAAAAAGAAAGAAAAAAA